ATGCATATAATTCTGTATTCACATCAAAAAATCACATTAACTTTTCAAAGTATAGTATACATATTTCTTTACAGATAAGCAAACAATATATAAAATGGGTGTTATACAAAATTATAAACCTTTGCATTTGTAAAGACTAGAGGAGTCTAACATGTGTACTTGTAAGCATTTTGCATTTTACTAATTTCACCAAAGATTTATATTCTTCTTCTGTGGCTCTTAAAATTTCTTGTCAAGCAGTCTTGGTTGGTCACTGTGCAGCCTTCTTGATGCTTAACCTATCCAGTCATCTGCAAACGATGCTCCTTACAGGCCATACATCATATCCTGTTTTTCACGATGAAACCAGTGTTGTTTCTTCCATATGGGCTGAGGCAGCTCTTCAGCTAGTGTAAACCGTTACAGGTCTAGCGAAGCTGGAAGACACCTTTCTCACCAAGTCTGCTTATTTTAAACGGGGATCTGGTTTATGTGCAACTTTAACTAGCGTCATGTATCCTGACCTGCATGTTTGCTTTTACAAACAAGTAACAGAAAATAAGTCAATTTCTCTTTTTTAAATCATAGTGAAAAAAATTTTTATAAAGCTATACAATCTTTTCTGCTATGCAGAGCTTAATTAATTTTTCAGCAAATGTCTCTCTAGAAGCTCATTTGAAAGGATAATTCTAAAATTTTCAAGGTACTTCAAATAATCAAACCTTAATCAGTAGTTTTATCCTGAACCTCTTAGGTGGGAGAAAACTCAGAGCACAGCCACCCTTCCTTGTGATGGTTCCCAGAAAACTGGCTGGTTTGGCAGCTGAATTGAGCTGGCTGCTGTGGGATTATGACCACTTCCTGGCAGACGTTCAGACTTGGTAAGATTTTTGTGGTTGTTACCCAGAGGGGAAGAGACAAGTGTTTTGAACCCATAAGAACTTCAGTTTTATTTTGGAAACATGAGTGCTGAATACTACAAAAGCTGAAGACCAATTCCTTTAAGGAAAACCCAGTACCTTTTCCTTTAAATACATGTGTAACAAGATCTGAATCTTACATTAAGAGGATTTTTGTCTTCCTCAAAATTGCTTCTGTGTACACCAGGATAAGCCACTGTGCAGTAAGAATGAATGTGACATTTTTAAATGGCTGATACTATGCTGATAAAACTGTTTTAAGTCATCAATCAAATTACTATTTTTTTTTTTTAGTGGGTATTCATCAAGACAATATTGCTTCCAAGTCTTACCTCAAGGGAAATGATAATCCTCCATTCTTTGTGATTTTGGGGATAGTGCTTCATATAGAAACATAGAAGGAAAATGTACCCTAGACAGCTTTCCATTCCAGTGATTTCATTAATGATCAAATGCTTTTAAGTGGCATGCAGTACCTTGAAGGATTGCAGCCAACAGATAGTTTCCAACAGGTCAGTCCCGAGGACTGAACCTAGCTTGTAATGTATGATTAACCTCTGTCATCAACAAAACACACAATGGCTGTTCAAAACTCATTGGCATTGATTTTAGTTTTAGATAAACAAAAAGGTCGGATGACAATTGTGTAAGCTGTCTTCATTTATTCCCAGTTTTATTATATTGTAGTTAATCTAATTTGTTCCAACTGTAAATCTTTCAAATACTGAAAGAGATACTGCCCATGGAATATTTTATTGCATAGGGTTCAAGCTGGCAATGATTAGAAATGAGCCATTTTGTCTTTGTTTGGCTTTGAAATGCTGTATTTCAAAAAAGACCGCTGCACCCCACATCTGCATCAAACATGGTCTCAAGTAAACTTCTGGTAAAACAGGTTCATCTGTTTAAAGGTACACTTATTTCTGACTACACACAGAATTCATTTTTTTTAAGTTTCACTAAAAAAACACTGGTCCATTGAAAATAAGATGACCTATATTACTAGAAATCAAGAACCCTATTTACTTACTATAATACTCTGTTTTAAGACTACCATTGAGATGACGTTACTTCAACTTGGTTTCTAAGGAAACTATAGTCTACATGTTGATAAATACACAACAATAAAAAAGAAAGAAAAAGAAAACACCTCAGTATCTCTCCTTAATGGGCTGCTAGAGAGCAGGTTCAAAATAATATTTTATTATAACTCAAAATAAAAAATACATAAGGTCATTCTGTTCGCATTTTGCCTTATAAAAAGTGAACACAAGCTGTTAAAAAAAAGACTGTACAACTTAAGATAATCTCCACAGACTTATTCCTGTACACAATTATTTTCATTAGATAATCTTTTTGCACTGGGAAAGGATTCTTTAGCTGGAAAATACTTTACAAGGGATCAAACACTTTGTTTGTATACCACATATAGCTTGGATCTTCGAAAACTTCCTGTCCTTAATCGCTGACAAAGCTTATACAAAATGATTCATGATGCAAATTGGTATTCATAAGTTATGTGCATTAATTTATATATTTTCCTTTGTACGAACATAAGATCAGATTTATAGGTAGTGCTGAAATGCATTTTATTTTGTCTTGAAATCAAGCCTGCAACATACATCATAGTTGCATTCTGTATAGATTTCAAACTATTGTCAGTGTGATGACAGTTTGGGTGTTTTGTGGGAGGAGGGCTGTATCTCAGAGTATCTGTTTGGTTAAATACAATACACGGACAAAAGACAAAATAAGTTTTAAGGAGTTTTATGAAAACCAGTATTTTTCCCAAGCATTACAAACAGCATATGAAAATCTGTAGGGCTAAGTTCTTATGTGGGGTTTACCTATATTTAATGGGGAAAAAACTGGAACAGAATACAAAAAAATAGTGATTTTCTTCTTGAAAATGGTTTTGATATTGTCAAAATAAACTTTTCAATTAGGGGATGAAAATGCTGTTTTCTTCAACAGCTGTGTTTGGATTAAAGTCCAAAATTTCAGTTTTGTCAAGGAGGAAATTTTTTGTGAGGAGAAAAACGCACATTCTGACTGACTGTAATATATATGATATATGCAGGATATATATAAGTGCACATGCAGGAATACAGAGCCAGCATCTCCACTGGTGTAAAACGTCCAAGTGTCTCTGAAGTCACAACTTGCCTAACTAACATCAGCTGTGATTCTCACCTAAGAAAGAAAATTTTTGCTTATCTCATATTCACCTCTCTGTGGAATGCTGGAGCCGGTTTCTGAACGACATGACTCTGATATCAAAGGCATAAATATAGTAGTACGGGGAACTACAGAGCTCACCTTCTGAACACCAGAACGCGTCAGTGGCAAGAAACGGAGGTATGGCTGTTAACAATGTAGTCTTGAAAAGCTATCGAAGGAATAGTCAAGCTTGTGTGTAAGAAGGCTACTAAAATTCTTTACAGGTCTTCAGAAAAATTGTATTTGTAATGTTATTCTTTAGGACTACTTAAGCCTAAGACCACTTAAAATGGTAATGATTTTTTCCGGTCTCAGGGTAGAGCCTTCGATGTACTAATTACTGACCAATGAGGCACCTTCCTTTGCGTGAGCGATTCCAGGTGGTACTCATTTTACTTCTACAGCTTTTAACAAATACGTACATAAAAGATGCTTCTACAGCACAGTAATAGTAAATGCAGTATTTTCAGGCAAGCACACCAAATTCAACTATGCTGATGACTCTGAACTTCCATGTTGATAAGAAAGCTCCCTGTTGACATTTATTGGTACTCCAGTTCAAAAAGCTGTACTTTAAGGTGTTTTAGTATCTAACTGCACAGTTCTACATAGCAGCCTTTCAGAATTATACTGAACGATGCTATTAAGCAGTACTACACAAGAAATGTAGTGAACCTAACTGGGTCCATTTTAATTCTCTAGTTACATTGGAGAATATACCGTTTTGCCAAGTGCAACTCACACTTCTCTATTTTACTTTCTTTGGTATGCTCTGGGCTTTTTACAGTTGTTTTTAAAACTTCCATTAAGTGTATCCTTCAGGAAGGATTGCAGAATTTAAAGATGATGAAGAGTGTCATCTGACAGGGAGCAGCCACTCTTGTCTTCCAGTACTTTGTCCAGACTGTTTCAAGTGATGTAACCTTGTAATTTATCTTAGCGAAATTTCACTATGACATACATGTATGTTTAATTAAGCAGGGGGGAAACAAATACATGCTTACAAGTATGTAATTTCAGGTGATGGAGTTGAACTGAATGTACATAAAATTAAGATAGGTTCCCCACTAAGCTACCAGAAAGTATATTTTGATCAATGCCTGATCTTTTTGTGCTGATCTTTATAAGGTACAACACTTGCTTCTACCAACGATCTGGTTGTAGAGAAGAAATTAATTGTGGCTAAGGAAATCCCTGCTACAACATTCAGAGGGGCACTGTGTGCCCTTCTTTGTATTATCAAATTCAAAGCAATGCCACCAATTTCACTGCTTTTACGGAAGATTTGTGTGCTTCATCAAAGATCAGAATCAGGCCTCAAGATTTTTTGCCCTACAGCCCTGTATTACTCATCTTTCCCGAGTTACAGAACCAGCTCTACTCTGTCCTGAAGCTCAAAAGTATCAGTGATTCTCCTTCTGATTTGGTTATCCGAGTTAAAAGTGGAGATACTTCAGGCAAGAAGTTATCGGTGCCTCTATGGAGCACTTAGATATCAAAATCTTTGAAAAACTTCTGCTACACGTTGCTTATAATGCTATAGGATGCAGTTATGGAATGACAGATCTCAGTGTTAAGCCCATTTTTGGTTCTGCTTTTGTGTGGAAAGGCAAACTGAAGACCAAATGTGTCTGGCTGAGGACTTCTGAATCCTCTTTTGTTAATTTCGTTCTCTCAAATTTGAAACATCACTCCCTCTCCCTGCAAGGTACCCCAGGCAGACGGCCATCCTTCCTGCCTGAATGGTGATGGGCCTTCTCCAGGCTGGCGAGAATGTCGTTCCATAGGACCATCCAGTCAAGGAGGACATGCGAAGGGACCTTCCACCATTCTCTTCTAAGACAAAGCTTAGCAAGTAACTACAGCGAAATGCGAGTTTGATCAATTTAAGAATTCAGCAGAGAGGCTTCTACTGTACCTAGCGGATCGGAACTTGAGCTCATGGTAACATTGCACAAAGCTGTGATAAATGAAAGTGATCGGCAAGGCTAGTAAAACGATGCCACTAACCACACAAATTCCTCCAAGAATCCTTCCTGGTACAGTGATGGGACACATGTCACCATAACCAACCGTGGTCATCGAGATGATCACCTTAATGCTGGCATAATCCTTATTCTTTGTTCCCAAGTCCAGCCCATTTTCAAGAAGCTGGGAAAGTGCACTGAAAATTGCCATAGCAACACAGATAAAGACAAGTAGCATCACCATCTCTCTGTAACAGCGCTTCAGAGTCAGACCAAGTGTTTGAAGGCCAATGAAATGACGAGCCAGTTTAATCACCCAAAAAATCCTCATCATTCTTAAGACCCTCAAGGTGACTCCAGCCCTCTGAAGCTGCGAATTTTCCCCGGTAAAAACTGTCATTAGAACAGAGATGTAGTAAGGAGTAATTGCCAGTAAATCAATGATGTTGAGAGGTCTTCTGACAAACTCACACTTGTTTTTGGAGACGATGAACCTCACAATGCACTCTGCAGTGAACCAGCCTATGCAGATAGCTTCAATTATCCTGTCAAAAGAAACAAAGTACAGTATTTACGTTCTGTGCAAAAGCTTTAGTGGATGCTTGGTTTGTTCACAGATATTACCAAAGTGACGCTCAGACCTTCACAAATGACAAACAGAAAGCCACGCTACACCTATTCTATGCACGTAACGCCAGATTTCAGCAATTAACCTGAGGATCTAGTGAGGAATTTAAACTGATCATTTTCTTCGACTTAGAGATTGCTACTGGTCCTAATACTGGGCAAATACGCCTACCAAAACTGGAACCCTAGAGGGAATGGTCTGCCACCACTGCTAACGTGTAACTTTAGTTAGAACACTTTTTTTTTTGGTTGGTTTGTTGGGTTTTGGGGGATTTTGTTCATTTTTTGGTTTGTTTTAAATCTGTGAGGCTGATCCACATGGGAATGCTGAAGATTCCAGATCAGTGAAGTAGCTGGTTATGAACAGCAATATATAGAACCAGACTGCTAAACTAAAATGAAAGTAGAGATGGAGTAGGCAGAAATCAGCTTTTGCATTGGATAATTCCTGCAGATTGCTTCTTCAGGAGCCAACCTAAACCAGTCTGATTTGCATCCCAAACAGGGACTTACCTAGAACTATATTCAGAACTTTACAGGCATTGCCACTAAACACAGATGACATTTTTACCATCAGGTACACAACCTAATAAGCTTGTGTCTCCCCATTTACCACTATGCTCTGCATTACTGATTTTTTTCTTCTGTTTAAATGTAACTCCAACTAAACTGCGTTGCAGCAAAAACGTCAAGGTAACCAAAGCAATAGGCAAGATCATCTTCTTGCCAAATACAAATAACAGCCTTAAGAAAAGAAATCCTGGAAGGTGATTTCAGTGTGTTCCTGAATATTTTTCAAGTCCTGGTGCAGTGAATGGCTTGAGAACATCTCAACTTGCAACCAGTGGAAGGTAGAAACAGAACATGAAAATATTGCTGTAAGATTATTTAGTAACTGTTGTGCATGTAGTCTCAAATCTCCCATCTGAAAATAACCATTTTCTTAAGAATTTAGACTGTGCTCACTTGTTTTAATACAGGCGGGAATGGCAGCTAATCTTTCCCTCTTTCCTTTATCTTTTTCACCAACAGTTCGAGCGAAGAAAAAGCCAATCACCAGTGCCTTCTCACACCAACAGGTCTGAAACCAAATGAACATGAGACTGGAGATTTAAAAATACTATATACAACCAGAGCTTTTCTGCTACTGCAGGGATGCTAACAAGGTAGTGTTATGAATGTAGAATTTGTAGAAATGTAATGATTTGCAAGTAATAATCCAACTGTCATTTCAAAGCTAAAATTTTGCTTCCTTAATATATCTGCATAATTTTTTACCAGTTCTGAAATCCATTGTCATTTTAAAGACAATGGCCTGTTAGAAAGACAATATTCTTCTGTAACTGCTGTAATTATACTACTATAACAACTAACTTTCATCGAAGTTTCATACACTGTATTTTTTTAATTAATTTCATTTTTATTCATTCACTTTAGTTTTATGCTAAAAAATGTAGAAAACTAACAGTCAGTTGATGTGAAGTTTTAAGGAACACTGTAATTGCAGCCACAGCAAATTTAAATGAACAGAAATTAATTACTTAAATAGTTATTCATATAAAATCAGACCTTGTTTTACTTGTTGCATGAGTAACAATGATCTGTAAGCACATGGCCTTTCTTCATAAGGGGTTCATGTTATCACCTTTTGATGGAAACACCTGTGGATTTCAAAAAATAGCTTGCACTTAAAAATTAAGCTCTTGAAAATACTGGTGCTTCTTTTAATACTGACAGTGAGTGACAACTACCTCAGATACACATTTAACTTCTTTTAAAATATGCTCAGATCATAATGTCTTCTAAACAAGAGTCATGTACAGAATATCTGAAAGTTATTGTATGAATGTGGATTATCGTTCCTTTATGTTGAAAAAAATCAAGAAAAAAATTCTAATGGGAAAGTTCTCTTAAATACTTTTTACACATGAGGAAATACCCAAGACTTTCCCTAGTAAACAGCAAAAAAAACCCCAACCTAAGACTTTTCCCTAGTCAAACAGCAAGATCTTGCTAATGGATGCACCAATAAAGTCTGAATGTATGTTGGCTAGGTGAGATCCCATGTAGTGATTACAAGAAAAATTGTATCTGGATATAAATTTGCAGCCAGGAATACCCAAGAATTCCAACAGACTCTGTTTCGTTACATTTTATTATAAGATTTCTCCAGTAGAGCTGCCTGTATCCTATGACATGGAACATTTAAATGAAAAAGCAATTTGTAATTTTACAACTTAAAGCTTTTTCGCTCAGTATTTCCTCCTGATGCCCTAATAATGTTGGAGATGTGATTTCCTCTTTTTGTCACAACTTAGGCCGGTTATCTCTGAGTTGAGCTTTAAGGAAGTTAGGTCCTGATCATTGTGATGCAGTAGAAGTTGTCTTTATGAATCTGCATTGATTCAATGGTCCAGTACGATTTTTGGGGAAGAGTTGTGCAAGTAAAATTCCATGAAATTTGATGAATCCGTTGGTTTAGTCTGGCAGTTGTGGCATCACAAGAGATACTGTAAATCAGTTACATTTCAGTAGGAAGGACTGGAGAGCCTTTTATTTTATAACAGGCTTGAAGAGACCTAAGGAACATCACTGATGGAAAAATGACAAAGCAAGATCTAGACAGTGGGAGACGCATTACGGCCACTCCGTTGTATACTGCACTTCCATTTCTCCATTCTATGTCTATCCTTCATTCTCATCAATTATGTGCATCCTGGCTAATGCAAAGATGATGAAGAGGAGTTTCCCTTATTTTTTCTTTCCTCTCCTTACCTCTTAGCCATCTCTGAAACATTTTCATTTTTCCTCTGGTCACTCCTTTTAGCCAGCGCAGATGGATTTCGGCAGTCCTGGTGAATCTCATACAAGTGCGTGCTTTGGTGAGCAGAACTAGAAACCCCTGGCCTGTTGGGAAATATGGAATGCTACATACCCCGTTTCCACTTTCAAATCAAGTCTCCCTCTCCTTGTAGCGACTTACCCTTATATCTAACCTTGCGAATGGGTAAGTACCGTCTCCTAAGGACAGCAAATTTAGTCCTCAAGAGAACTTAACAGAGTATGAAGTTAAAGCCAACTAAAATGCATGCACTCAGAAGACTGAAGTTAGTCTATCTTCTGTAATCTTTAAACTTTTGCTGCAAATTCACAGGACAGACTGCCTTTTATTGCCTATTCCTGGAATAATGCTGGTTTAAAATGTATAAATACATAATTAAATCATGAGCTTTATTTGGTAAAATGTAATACCTGTTTGGTAAACTTCCATCACAGTTTTTGGGTTTGCGGGCTTTTTTTTAGCCCATCAGTTAATTTTTAAAATAGCTGGTATTCAAAAAGGAGAGGGGAAATTAAAAACAAACTCATGAAGTGTTTCCTTGAAGATTCCCCACAAAATTTATAAAGAATCAGAGGAAATACTAAGTCCTAATTTTTATTCAGCTGCAGGTTACTTCTGTTCAAACTTACTGTTCATTGTCCCAGACCTAGCACACAAAAGAGGTTTTTTCTCCTAAAATTTTAAGCCTCCTGGTACTTAACAGTCTTTCAAGATTGCTCTAATGAGTCTTTTGTCCATAAACAGAAAGTCAAGTTTCTAGTGTAATTCCATCGCTGTTCAATTTTCTGTTCCATCTGATAACTTCCTTTCAGAATAAGGCACTTTATGAACAGTGAGATAAACCACTTCAGAAATTACTTTTTCAATCACTAACAAGACTAGTTTGTTATTCCTAAAAAAGTCATATTGTGAACGTCTTAGAATATTTCAACATAGCATTACTCTTTGCCCCAGCATGCCAATCTGTATACTTTCAATATCCCCTGGTGAGTTGGTTGAAATCTAGCCCAAATATTCGTTAGTGGCACTATTATCTATTAAGCTTGTAAATAAAACATACACATCAACGGGACACACGAGGAAAACAGATGATATGATTAAAGACAGTATATGACAGGATTAAAGATTTAAGTCTGTCAGCACTGATTTGTTGCTAAAGCCTATTTCCATGTAAAGCACATTAAACCTGAAAAACGCCCAAGCAGTAGCCAGAATGATCAAATTCCAGCTCAGGAAGGCTCCTAGTCATTTCAGCAAATGTCTGTTTCTTTAATCCTTTTGAAATCAACGGGGTTTCTGTCTTGCTACAGGCTGTAGAGTAAGGGCCACAGAACAGCTAGTTTCCCTGCATTAAAAACCTTGCTGGCTTTTTTCCATTCTGTCCCTGCTTCGGTAGCAATAACGTGCCTTGATGTACTGAACTCCGGTGCCTTGTGTGGGAGGCTGTAATGGCACAGCACTCCCTGGGGAAGGGGCAAACGCCTTTCACAGCTCTCGGAGGATACCTAGATGTGAACATCTCGAGCCCCGGGGTCCCCAGCATCTTTTCCATAGGCTGTGAACAAGAGAGGCACCTAGCCCTGGTGAGTTCATTAAGGCTCTCCTGGGGCCAGGCAGTGATACATGTCTGTTCTTTGTGTTATCTCTAGTTTTCAAAAGCTCTTACATTCGTCAGAAGAACCCACGTCCCTGTTTTTAAATCAGGTCTGCCATTCCATTCTTTACCTTCAGCCTAGTGTCTGAACTTAGCCAAAAATGAGGTATTCAGGTCTTACCCAGGAAAGCTGTTATTTTTTTCGAACAGGTGTTGGATGTGAGCATTCAGGTATCCTGAAGTTCCACAAATGTAATGGAATCATGGTTTTTATCTGTCTAAAATTCAAATGCAACTTTTTAAGCTGATGTTTTGCAGAGATCAAAAAAAGCTCACTGGCATCTGCTGAAAGCTGCTCTTTGGAGAAGTTACTGTGTTTATTTGCTTTTGCTCAAGAAAACAACAATCACACAGGCTTGATAGCCAAGGGATTCTTTCAGTACAAATTTAATGACGATCAGTAAGTGGAAAAGGGGCAAGAGTCTCGTGCTAACAAGCCACGCGTATTTAGAGTCGGGTAGATAGAACTGCGCTGGCAGTAAGTCAAGCAGCTTCAAATGACTTCCTATTACAGGCTTGAGAAGCTCTCCCCAAAAGATTACGCTTACGATCAGCGCCTGGACGGGTCCCCGATCAGAGATGCGCAGTATGCATCTGCTGGCACAGTTCAGAGGAGAGCAAAGATGACTTCAAATTGCCAGAAGCAACAGAAGGGGAGACAGGTGTCCCTGCTGTCTGCTCCTAAACTGTGCAAATCTGATGCAAATCTTCAGCTCTGGTAAGTGAAACGTGCCAAGGCAGGGAAGAGAGCAAAAATCTTAAAATGCAAGAAATTTAATAACTCATCCATCCCTCATCCTGAGAACGGACCTGGGGAAGGTAATCTCTCTGCAAATCAGGGAATTATCTTGTCTGTAAGATCTGTGAAATTCGGGGGTCAAATACCACATCCCTCTCTCCTTAAAATTGCTTATGTGTGGAGTTCTCTTTTGCCCTCTAAAGGGTGCTACTTACTCCAAAGGCTTGGAAATAGCCATAGGTGGCTCACATTCTGAGAGTGTGGTCACCACGAAAATTCATAACGACGTACTGGTTTCTGAGAACGGTTTGGTGGACTCAATTCCTCTTCTGGTGAAGAGGTGTTCATATAAGAAAAATAAACACAGCTGGCGTTAGCCGGCAGCTGCAGTAACCTCATTGCAAACCTCGTAGCAGAGGCTGATTTTGTAAATCACAGAGTCCAGGGGAGCTGGAGACACACTCGTAGAGCTGTTCTCAGGACAGCTGCCCAAAGAGCCTTTGTGGTTACCACACTTCAGCCACAGAAATTACCCATTAACCTTTCTGAGCCCTAAGTAACGTAAAATCAAGGGGGTTCTACTAGTAAACATGCGAGAGGCTAAAAATACCTGATTTCAAAGTTGCTGAATTTCCTGAGGCAGTTCTCACCTCTTCTATGCAGTGTCTTCTGCTGATCTGAATAGTTGGTTACAGCCGAAATCTACAGTCTAAGGACTTCTGATTTCTAAAAGTTTTCAAAATATGCTTTTAGACTAACGTAAATTCTTCATACTAGTCATTACAGGGCCATGAGTCAAAACTCACTTGCATACAGCACTGATGTCACAATTTCTCTTGACAAAATAATTTACTGTATTATCACATTATACAGAACTTCTTTATTTTGATGAGGACCCCTAGTTAACAAACAAAAGACAGAATTTGGCTTCAAACTTTTGAAGGTATCAGAACCCAGCGGCCAGATTTTCAAAAGCCTCTCTCTTAAAGGTGGCCAGTATTGCCAGAGTACTCAATTCCAGACACTCCTGTATGAGTTCTGTAGTCAGACTTTCAAATAAACCACGTAGCTACTTAGGTTTTGAAAACCAAACTGATTTTAAATGAAATAGCTACAAACAAAGAAAAGAAAATACAAACAAGGGGAGATGAAGTCAGACGAGGACTGGGCGTGTTAGCTCAAATCCTATGGCACATGCAAGCAGTTGTAACTAACCTGGATCGCTCACTCAAAAGCAACTGTGGCTCACACCTTTTTTTCCATGTCTAACAGGCTTTTTAGTCCTGCAGCTTACGCAATTAAGAAAGGAGCGGGTCCTGCAGAGTACAAGGCCACCTCGGCAGGTGACCAGCTGCAGACAGAAAGGAACACTTTTGTACGTTTTCCCGTGTTCCCCAGTAAACTGCTGTCAGTTCCTGTGCAGTGAGAGCCCATGGGTAAAGTCACACCTGAAATGAACCAGCCTGCAGCAGTGATTATATGCGACAGACTAGCAAGAGGATGGTGAGGTGCTCTTCAGCTGCAACTTTTCGAGTTAGCCCTCTCTTCTTGTTACTATTCCACGGAGTACTATAACCAGTACTGAAGAAACTCACCATGGATAGTGGCCCTTCTGGTTGTAAAAGCAGCCTTCACCACCCTGGGAAGTGCTTGGCTACGCTGTACCTTACAAGTATTTGGGACCTTATCCCTCAAACACTCGGTATACAGTGTGTTCAGAAGAGTAACATGATGTGTGTAAGTAACACACATGTTCTTGAAGACAAAGGCGTTGTGAAGGAAAAATTACACGTCATGCGCCTCGTTCCTCTGCAAGTTGAACTATTTCAGTAAGAGAAAAAATGTTGTTGACTCCCACACCACGAGGATGCGAACAAAGATATTACTGATGTCGTTAATGCCATGGTAGCGCTGTATCTACTTTCCCCCTTGTACCCGGGGTATCTAAGCAATTTGCTGCCGTACAGAAAGATCACCCAGAGCATCCACCCTTTGAAGTAACCTTGCAAAGCTTAAGGAAGGCTTTTTAACTGGAAGAACCTGTAAGAGCAACTTTTGACACAGCTGAATCTAAGCAGGAATCAACAGCTTCTCAATCTGTATCTCCTTTGGTTTTGTTCATACAATTAATTCTTTGGCTCAGCTACAATGAGAAATACAGGTGCAGTTTTCCATTAAGCTAATGGAAAGTATGAAAATACTTTCCAAGGAATTGATTTGGCTACTAAGATATATAATATATCACATTCCAATTAACTCTATGGTAAAAGATGATGGTTTCATAACGACAAGGCTGTGATTTCACCGCCAGGCCCCTCTCGCAGAGCCGAGCTGAGAACTTTTTGTTGCATGTCCTGTCTGTTTTAAAAGCAGCGAGAAGCTAGCAAATGCAAGAAACATTTACTTGTTTCTTCCTATGTCAGACTTATTTATGGGAGAAATCCTACTGCTGCGATTCTGTTCTCTAGGGAACGAAGAGGAAAAGAGAGAGCGCAACCATACTGAAGTCAGCAGAGCTGCATGGATGTAACCCGAAGCTGAGGTCACCGAG